TGTGTGTGTGTGTGTGTGACAAATTGAACTGATTAAGGAGCAGATGCCGAAGCAAACGCTGAATCTTTTTTTATTTATTTAATTACTAATCCAAGAAGTGTAATCATATGTAATTTATTCATAACTTCCACTCTCCACCTTCTCACAGACTTTTTTTTGCTCAGTGACTCTGGTGATCTCTGAGCAGTTGCATTCTCTCCTTCTCCACCTGGAGGCGTTCTCTCTCTATCTGCAATCTGCTGGCTTCAAATCTGAAAAACTGGAGTCTCTCTTTCTCCAGTTGCAGCCTCTCCTTCTCCAGTTTCATCCTCTCCGTCTCCAGGTCCACCGCTCTCGTCCACCTCTCTCCATCGCTCTCCCTCTCCCTCTGAGTACAGGATGACGAGGGCGTGGACGATGAAGGCGGGCCCTGCTGCGACGGCAGGTTAGAAGAGGAGTCCACAAGTTCGGAGTGACTCAGGAACAGAAGCCGCAGTCTCTCTCTCTCCACCAAAAGCCTCTCTTTCTCCAGCTGCAGACGTTCCCTCTCCACTTCTACGTGTTGAAGTCGCTCCTTCTCTACCGCCAGCCGCTCTTTCTCCACGTCCAGACGTTCTGTTTCCACAGCCAGACGTTGTTTCTCCAACTCCAGGCGTTGCTTCTCCACAGCACCCAGAACTGCTGTTCCTATATTTTCACCAGAGGTGAATCCTCCCATAGCATGAGGCTGGACTCCCATGAGGCCGTGAGCCGTCGGCAGGTCTCTGTTGGTGGTCGATGTCGGAGCCTTGGCGGAGGAGCCGAGCGTGTCCACGCCGTTGTGTAAATACACATCACCAACATGCCCCTCGCTGTGAGACTCGATGTCGCTGAGGAGCGAGGGGATGTCATCTTCATCAATTTCTTCTTCTCCGTCTCCCACATCTCCATCCAGCTGCAGTGAGACATTGGCTTCGTTACATTTACGATCCACAAATTTCTCATAACAGTTTCACAGTTTTGCAGTAAATTGTGCAAAACTAAAACAAATATGCGCAATAAGAACGACAGCCTTGACACCAGGCCATAACACTCACATTTCTGCAGCATAATTCAGATTTTTATGTGTCAGACACCAAA